GTCTCAAGCTGATGTGATGAAGATTGATGAATTCTACAATACACCTTATAAGACGTACAAAGACAGCTGGAGTATGATCACTGATCTAGAAGATAACTTGGTAATCAGCGAAGAAAATATGGATGAATTCATTAAATCGTTAAAATTTCTTCAACTTCCTCTTTCATTGAAGGCACTAACAGAAGATAATCACTAAAAGAGAATAGGTCATTATCCTATCTGCCGTTTATTCAAATGACAACTATATAATTCAAATCACAAGGTGAACCCAGACCCAGAGTTTGGATACAGGTAATATACCTTAATATATAAAGTCACAGTTTAGATACAAGCTACAGTAAACAAGATAAATGACATATGTATTGATATATGCCTACTTACCATGATATCTTTTCAAAATAAGATATATGAAATGATATTGACAAGGAACAATTAAGTAAGTGGGAACTAGTCTGCAAAATTAGGTGAAATAAGCTGAGTTTTTTCTAGGAAACTTTTTCAATGGTGGGTGGGGGGAGGGGGAAACTTAATGGTGCAAGCTTTTTTGAAGGGGTGTGTGTCCCCTTTGCACCTCCAAGATAGACCACTGTGATATACAGTTAGAATCTTGCATAGTTAGTTAAAATAAAAAGAAATTAACCGTTACAATAAATATAAACATAAACTCAATCAAAAATAGACTCTGAGTGAGGATGTTTCTACTGCTTAAATTACTCTGTACAAGTACAGAGATCATAGGAGTGTAGTTAAATCAACGAACATGCACGCTTCTCCTTCCTAGCCCTGTGCCCTGGATAAATTACAAGTCGGCAGCGGTTAGCCTAATTACACATTTGGCCCATAGGTCATAATGGTTCTTGCGCACGATTCACCTCGGCAAGCTATTTGTAAAAGGGTAGAAAAATGTCAACCTGACCAATATAAATAATGTGTGTTATGTTGGGATTTAGTAGGAAGGCTACTTAAGTTAATGGTAGGAAATTCACTTCTGGCATTCCTTTATAGTTAATTTGTATTGATGCAAAACTCTTAAATTTTAAAATGTGTATAAATATTGATATCTTATTTTATAATCTTCTAGAAATATAGGATAAACACTTTATCGTCACTCTTAAAATGGTTTTTCTCGAACTGGTATAAGCAGTTGTCTTACTATGTTAAAAGTGTTGTTCAGAGATAATGTGCAACATGGGACACTAGCAAAAATATCTGAGACGATGGACTGCTGAATGATTTGCTTGTACGTGGTTTAAAGGATCTGACTTTACTGTGTGATACCCATCAAAGTAACTGGACATTATGGTCTTCAAACGAAGATTCAAGAAACACTGTCATCATTCCTAAATGTTAAAGAAAGGAAAATTTCAACAAAGTATTTCACACCTCACAGGCAAAAGCTGATGGAACTGGGGGAGAATTGACTGCAGCTGATGTGTCAAAGATCGATGGATTGTATAATGAAGCTAAGGAGTATACAGACAGCTGGAGTATAATCTAGAAAGCACACTGAAAATTAGAGAAGGAAATAGGAAGTATTCGATTTGTTGGAAAAATTTAATCTCAGTCGGGCATTGGAGGCACTAACAGAAGGTACTGTATTATTCACTTTATAAAAGAGAATAAATCATTATGTTGTTGGCAATTATTGTTTATTCTGTCATGAAAACCTACAAGTTCTTCAAGTTTGTTTATCTATTAATAAACATACGTTATGGCTGTGTTTTCCCCTTCAGTTTGAAGGCATCTACTCTATTGTACATTTCTGTTACATGTGTTTATAATACCCAGTGTGCATCATTTTGATATTATTTTTAATAATTATGTATGTTTTCTTATTTATTACATCAAAATGTTTCAACAGCTGTGACCCTAAACAACTAAACTACAGTGTAGCTTTGAAAATTGTCCAGAGGATTTTACATGTAAATCACTTTTAAGAACATGATTGCAGCCCATTAAACTTCCATTTATCATTTATTATAAAACTTCAGCTGTAAATATTATAATTAGAATAATCAATTGTGAGAACATTAAGCATTCTTGTACCGGTTTTCAAAGAATTGTTCTTTAAATATATTTATAAATGTTAAATAAATTGTTATGATTCTCATTAGGTATTAGAGTTTCTGAGGCAAGAGATGAAAGTTTTGACCACTGGAATGAAGCATCCTGTGGTGGGCTCGCAAGAAATGCATTTTCATGATTTGGAAGAGTGGAGAACATTCTATCCTGTGCGGAGAGAGATTGATAACGACAGGCAAACTACATTGGTAGAGCGGGTGACGCCGCTCTGAGCTCCGGCTCTTTAGTTTAACGTTTTGCCCACTTCCTTGATGAGCTTTTACATTAAATGTGGATTCTAAATGAAGGAAAATATATTTAATATTGCTACTTTCAATGTTAGAGGATTAGGCGACAAATTCAAGAGACATCAACTAGCAACATATATAACAAATTATAAGGTGGACGTAGGCTGCCTTCAAGAAACTAAACTCACGGAGACGATTGACGAATACGTACACGAATGCCGATTCATCAACCTAGGCACTAAGGTTAAGTATTATGGATGTGGCTTCATTATTCACAAGCGATGGGCACCAAGTATTTCTAAATTTTGGAAAGTTTCAGACCGAATATCAGTTTTACAACTTAAAACGAAGGAGAACAAGTTTATTACTTTAATTAATGTCTGCACCCACCATTAACCGGGCAGAAAAATACCCGGCCGAACGTGAACGTATGTACAAGGAATTAGATTAACTCGTAAGTAAATTTGCAAATAAGACATTTCTTCTAATATGCGGAGATTTTAATTCAAAAATTGGCAAGAATCATTTAGATGAAGAAAAATGTATCGGAAATTATTCAAAAGGATTTCGTAATGATAATGGGGACGCCCTAATTGATTTTTGTGAAAATAACAATCTATTTATCACAAATAGCGCTTTTCAACACCCTGCAAGGCACATCACAACTTGGGCATGTCAACGGAAAACAAAAATGGACAATTAATTAATATTTACAACCAGATAGACTTTATTATTTGTAAAACAAGGTGCAAAAAACACTACCTTGTAACTCTAGATCATACGGAGGTACACAAGTAATAAGCGATCATAGAATCGTAATAACGACACTTACATTGACTTGGCATAACATTAAACGACAACGAAACTCAAACAATAGTAGGCAATTTGCATGTGAAAAACTGGCGGATAAAGACAAACGAAAGAAGTATGTGGACGATCTTATTCAAAACACAACAGAACAGAATACCTGATCGACCCAATAGAGCGTGGGAACATATAAGAAAAGTGATTAAAAGAGCTGCAGAAAATTCTGTTGGTTTCAAACAAAGAAATCAAAACAACAATGGAAATTACGACGAAGAAATTCAAGATCTATCCATTAAACAGAAAAACATACGGTTAAGGATTACAAACTGCAAAACAGACGACGAACGAAATATTCTTAAAAAATAAAGAAACAAGGTACTACATGAAATCCAACACCGAATAAGTGAAAATAGAAACAATGAACTTGACGCTAAAAGTTATGACATTGACCAAGCCGTTAACGGCGCCAGAATGTTTAGAGCGGTAAAAGAACTTTATAGAAAAAAATACGAAATTCCAAAAGTCGTAGATTGACAGCGGAAAATTTATTGGAAATGACCAGGAAACTGCTAGGGCCATTGGTAAACATTTTAAAAGTAAATTCTTCAACATAAATGGTCCGATCATCGCACCATTCGAAGGACAAGGAAGGCCTCTTGTAAATGAAATAACAAAATCCGAAGTTTACAAAAGTTTGAAAAAACTAAACAATAATCGCTCAGCTGGAGAAGATGAATTAAAGGGTGAACTATTAAAATATGGTGCAGATGTTCTGTCGCCTATTATAGCAAACATTTTCAATAATATTTTCATAATGCATGAACCAATTGATATAAGTAAAGGTATCCTCGTCGCACTACAAAAACCTGGTAAGGAAAAGGGTCTGATGAAAAATCACCATCAGAAAATGCATGTCACTGATTGTGCTAGAA